GATATGATGCATTCCTTTAAGTCATGTATATTTGTCTATTATTATTTTCTTTTCTTTTCTTTTCTTAGAGTCTCATATTTTCACATTATTCGTGACCTCTCCAAAGAGTCACTATTGGGCATCATAATTAATGTGATTTGCACCAATTGAGTTTTGAAGATAAATTCCGACCCTCCGATACCCTCCTAGATTTAGGGTTTGCATGCATATAGTACATCCAAATGTGATAAATCTTTAGGTTAAAATAAGAAAATCTTTGACTAAGTCACGCAACTAGCCTTAGTTAGGTTGAAAGGGATCTTTATCCTTGCCTTTCCTTTCTTCAAATGTGACTCCCAAACACTTTCTCTGATTTTCGTAGACTTAGGAGTCGTTTAAAAGGGGTTTTCCATAATTTTCTCTAAAAATTTATTTTTAGGTGACTTGGTACACCTTAACTCTATACCAAGTGGCGATTTCGATTTTTTATTCAAAAACCCTTTTTAAACTATAATCTGGGCCTAAATCGTCGCATCTTTCAAACCCCATTTAGGCCCTTTTTCTTTTTTAAATCAAACATCATTTTCAAAAAAAATTGAATTAAAATTTACTTTTTAAACCATTTATTTTTCATTATTTAAAAAAATGGGGCGCGACAATAATAATGTATATAAGATTAACCCATATATTTATCTAACTTCACTTAACAAAATTAATCCCTAAAGAAAGAGGATATATTTGGAGTAGGCCTGCAAACGAACCGAGCCGCTCGCGAGTCAAGCTCGAACTCGAGCTCAAAATATTAAGCTCGTTGCGAGCTCGAGTATATATATATATATATATATATATATATATATTATTTTAAGTATATGTATATTTTTTATTTTTTTATTTTAAGTATATATATATATTTATTTTAATAGTAAAATTACATATATATTCTTAATATTTTATTATTTATTAAGAAAAAAATATTATTTTTATTTATTTTTTTAAAAATAAAATAATTATTTTTTATTTATTTCGAGTTTGAGCTCGAGCTCGGGCTCAGCTCGAGCTTTAAATTGTTAGCTCGTCGCGTTCGAGTTCGAGTTCAATAAAATTAAGTCAAAACTCGACTCGATAAGGCCAAAACTCGACTCGACTCGACTCGTTTGCAGCTCTAATTTGGAGACAAAACTTTCATAGACTAAGTATGCATTTGATAAAATTGAAGTTTGAAAACAGAAATTTGAAATTTGAAATTTGAAATTTGACTCTATTAAATTGTTGAATTGTTAAATACTGAATTTGATACACTTTTTCACTTATAAAAAAACTGATGCATTTGATTGTATATCACATTAAGTGATAAGTGAATAGCTTATTATTTATTTTTTAGAGTAAGTTTTGTTTAAAAAATTCAGCATCACTTAATTAATTTGGATATTTTATTTTTTGTTATCAAACGTCTCTAAATATGTTAATATCTAAACCATTAAATTTAAGTGTTGGGAGGAGGGAAAGATTGGGTGGTTCGGGTGGAGGCAGTGCAAGTAAGAAATCACAGGTTCGAACCTTTCCACTTACATTTAATAAAAAATATTTAAGTTATGAATTCGATTATCAAACAAGACATAAATCTGTAAGTTCTTTTTAGTCTAATAATACCTCAAAATTTTCGGAATATCATTACTGAACATGTAAAAAGATGTCCAGTTGAACAACTTACCTAGCCAAATAATTAGACTAAGTGATTGAAAAAAACTTGAAGGAGGAACTTGGGGATGGGAGAAAATTGAAGCAAGACAGAGGGATGTGAGGAAGAATTAAGAGTAACGATGACGAGGAAAAGTAAGGGAGAGAAATTAGCTGGGGAAAAGAAAGAAGTTGCCGACATTATTGTTACACTTCAACTGAATTGATATGACGATGATTATCAAACCGTAGAAGTAGAAGTAGGTATGTAAGAGTGTCTCTAATAATCTAGAGAACTAAAAGCAACAAAAGTTATATGTATCCTATGTAATATATATAAAAATGAGTTGTAGTTTATCTATTGGGTGATTTTCATCTGATATTTTAAGGGGCAATTTAGGGATTGTATAAGTATCATACAAGTAATCCACCTTAGAGTACACACAGGCCATGCTCATTGGAGTACGAGTTTACTAAAGTGCTCTTTTGTGAGATGATGATTACACTTGCAAATGGAACTTATGTGTTGTTAGTGACAGTTTCACCCTTTTAACTATCCGTTTAGTACCAATGGTAAGACAGAAAGGTAGTGGAATGAATTGGGGTAAAGCCACCCAATTGAATTAAATGTATTTAAGATAATATTAATGGGCCTAAGTAGAAGAACCATTTGAAAACTATTTGTGAATTGTAACTGTAGGAAGCTTTTTGCTCTTCATCGTTAAAGATCAAGAAACATTAATTGAGTTCTTCCAAAACACACTCATTTGAACCAGTAATTGCATGTTGAAGAGCTCATTAAAGTGTAGGAGATTAAGAATCATTTGAGCGCAACGTCATTAAAGACCATCTTCTCCACCATTTGTAGATTAGTTTCTGAACTAAGTGGCAATATTGGTAGTCATTAATATATAAAATTACGGGTTCAGATGTTTCTATTTCACACCATTAAAGTCAAATTTGCAAAGACATGCTCATTTTCACTCATGTTTCTCGCTTTGCGAATTGTATACCTTTGTTTGCACAATAAAATTCATGTATTAGCTTTTGTCATCGCTATTATAGGTGGGTGAAGTGTGGGTAGATTTTCTTGTTCGATTACAATTGGTTCCTCAAGGTACAAGGTAATTGTGTATTTCCACTTGATGCATGTCACATGTTGTTTAAATGTGATTACAATTTCATTGCATTGATTACAACTATGTGACGTCTTTAACAAGTGCGTGAATGATTGATCCAATTTTAAAATTATATTACAGGTGATGCAATTTTTTATTTCAATACTTAAGTGCATGAGTTGTGTACGTATGGAATGAAATTCCTGTTTGAATAGACAAGTCTCTATATTCATATGCTATGTTATTTTCTTATTGAATTTAGTTGAACTCATGAAAAGAAGTCTTCAGAAGTAACAACAAAAGCAAGCTCCACTCCAGAAGCTCCGACCACAATTACTAAAACTCAAAACTCTGCAGAAGGCGCTTAGCCACCAACCAAGAAGTTGTACCTAGAGAAGTAGAAATCTAATTGTGTCCTTTCTTATTGTTATATCACCTACTCTTCAATAGAAAGGATTGCGAGACTACCACCTCAGCTATTTACTTACTTACATTTCAGGACTACTACTTTATCTATCCATCTATGTGAATAATATGAGGTTGAATAGTAGAACCATGCATCACCAATCCTCAATCTGAACTACAACTATATCTATTATCTCTTTACTATGGTTGTGTAAACTTTTATAATTCTCTCAACTGATTATCTACCATAATAGTGCGTAATGTTTTATCTACACATGGTATGGTATTTTTGGCTACCATTAATAGTATGCCTTGCCTAAGGTAAAAACAAATTGTCCAACATCACCAAATTATTTAACAACACCACAAATATAAATTCCCATGCTTGCATGGGCCTTCTCTCTAGTGTTTGTGATATAAATAATAGGAGTATTACATATTGCATTGTATCAAACGGCATAAAATGTAATATAATTTATCACATGAAAACTAAGAATTAAGGATAAATTTCTAATAAACTCAAAAAAAAAGTAGAGAGAAGACTTCGTGACGATGTAGTCTGAATCTTTTAATTAATTATTCATCCAAGTTTAGTAATCCTCTCTACTACTAGAGGAAATTACATTTAACCCCCATATGGTTTAGTATTTTTGTATATAGCATTCCTATAGTTTAAAAAGCTATACATAACCCCCTATGGTTTGGATTAAAGTGTCAAAGTGATGAAAATGATCATTCATAATGGAACCTTTAAATATGTCAAAATCACCCTTATTTAAAAATTAAAATGGATGAAATGACCAAAATATATAAACATAATATACATGGCGCATTAACCCCATATGGTTTTATATTTTACCATATAACCCCTTATGGTTTAATTCTTTACTATATAACTCTCTTATTATTTTCAAAATATACACATAACCCCCATGTGGTTAATAAATAATTTTCAACTTTACATAGGGATATTTTTGACATTTTAGGTGACTCCGTTATGGATTGCAAATTTCATTATTTTGACACTTTAATCCAAACTATGAAGGGGTTATGTATAGTTTTTAAAATTATAGGGAAATTATGTACAAAAATACTAAACCACAAGGGGATAAAGTGTAATTTGCCCAAAAATAATTAAAAAAAGAAGAGTCACTCAGTTCACCCAATTGTGAAAACGCATCAAATAATCCTTTTTACCAACCATTCAATAAACAACTTAAGCCCACTAGCCCAACGCAAAAATCCAATCCACTCCAACCCAACAGCCACCTCCCCTGCCTCCTATACATATCTACTCGGTCTTTTCCTCGGATTCTATGGGTACTCGATGTGCTCCAGAATTTCTTGTAAGACTACAACATTTTCTTAAGCTATTATACACATTAGGTTAAAAATCCAGGAAGCAATAAGGAATCACCAGCATTTTCCTCAAAAAAAAAAAAAAAGGAAGCAACCAGGAAACTCTTTTTTTTTTGGGCATCCTAGGAGGAAGTAAAAATTGCAGCAATGGACTTATAGGGTCGTAAGCACCAAAATAGTACCCCGCTGAATGTAGGTTCCACATTTCGAAACTTGGTGTTTGTGTTTTTTTTTTTTCTGTGGTTGAGTTTAGTGTATTAAAACTAATAGGTGATATAATAAATTCATATTGAAAATCATTCTATGTTTATGTGACAAACTAGAGATTGATAAATAAAGACAAGTAGTAATTAAATTCTCCTTTGGTGTAAATATTATAGGTAGGTAGAAACATCGATAGAAAAATTGGATGATGGCAGAGATATCCACACGGAATTCATTCATGAAAGTCATTCATGGTGCTTAAACTACTGTGTAGGTTTGGTCAGGCAGTGAAAGCAATGGTGGACTAACAAGCTGATTCACAGCAATAGTGTGCAAAGGCCTAGTTGGTTCTCGCCTGCCCACTTCAAATCGGTTCACCACTTGCTGCATTGTTGGTCGACATTTCGGGTTTGCGTTGACGCAATCCAGGGCTAACGCAGTCGCAAGAACCACATTACGAACGACCAAAGGGTTAGTCGGAGGGGGCAGACGGGCATCTAGAAGATCCTTCAGCATTATTGGTTCATTGGGTTGTGATGATATGCAAGAAAGGAAATCTTGTGGATGCTTTCCAAACAATGTTTCCAGCACCACAACACCAAAGCTATACACATCAGACTTTTCGGTGACCACCATGGTATAGGCTAGCTCTGCATGGATAAGTAATTAGATAAAATAAAATTAATCTCAACTGGACAACTATAGACTTGCTATTCAACAAAATAATCGTTTCAGTTGGAAGAATTTTTCTTTTCTGTCCTTGAAAGTTAAGCCTAATATGTGCATCAAGAAAATATGAAAAACAAGGTGAAAAGGTAACCTACCTGGTGCCATGTAGCCAAAGGTGCCTGCAATGACTGTTTGATTTGATGAATCAAGTTCCAAAATCCTCGCAGTTCCAAAGTCAGAAAGAGTTGCTTCGAGCTGTGAATTCAAAAGAATGTTGTTGCTTGACACATCCCTGTGAATGATTGGCGGATCACAATCGTAATGCAAGTAGGACAATGCACTGGCAATGCCCTTGATCAAATTCACTCTTTTAATCCAATCCAGCTCCACAGCTTCGGTTTCATCTCTCAAGATACAAAACAAGCTTCCTCTGTCCATATACTCATAAATCAGAAACATGCATCGCTTGTGCAGGCAGAATCCGAAGAGCTTTACAATGTTCCTGTGCCTGATTTTAGATAGCATGTCGGCTTCATTCCTAAAGCTCTTGTCAAAATTTGGATTCTCGCCTTCCAAACGGTGAAGCTTTTTCAAAGCCACTACTTTCCCACTTGGCAACCGTGCTCTGTATACAGAGCCATACCCTCCTGTCCCGATGCAGTAACAGACATCAAAATCGTTGGTTGCTTTAATTATGTCTTCGTAAGCCATATGTCCATCATAGTTCCATATTCTGAAAATGTCTCCATGTTTATTGTCCATGAGCTCGACTTTAACTTTCTTGAAGCAGCGGATATAAATTACTAATCCGCCAGTTATTGCGAACACCAACAAGGTTACGCCAAGACCTATGATGTAGTATAGGGTGCGATGTCTATGATTTCCCACAATAACAGGAGTGTGATTTCCCATAACAAGAGGAGATACTCCACAAAGAGTGGAATCGTGACGCAAGTGTGGATTGCCGACAAATCTTTCTGAACCAAACTGAATGACAAGCTTGCACGGAAGTTCACCTTCCAAAGCATTATAGGACAGGTCGACGTCCCCCAGTTGCAGAAGAGACGAGGGGACAGTGCCAGAGAGAATATTGTGGGAAAGATCCAAAGTCGAAAGGTACCACTTGGATTTAATATTATCCCCAAATTGGGTAGGAATTGGGCCTGTAAGTTGGTTTGAGGAAAGATTTAGAATTTGTAGAAAAGGCAGATTGCCAAGGGTCGGAGGGATTTGACCAGTCAGCCGGTTGGACCCAAGATGGAGATATTCCAAATATTTCAAATTTCCTATTTCAGAGGGAATGGAACCATAAATTTGATTCTCAGCACCTGAAAGAGATACTAGTTTGGTTAGGTCGCAAAGAGATGAAGGAAGGGCACCTGAAAGATTAAGGCCACTGAAGTCTAATTCACCTAAACTTTTCAAATTTCCTATTTCTTCTGAGAGAAATCCTCTCATTACGGGATTCGAGTGAATGTCTAGTCGGAAAAGATTTGTCAAATTAAAAAGAGCTGAAGGAATTGTCCCGCTGAAGTGGTTAGTGTTGAGGTCAAGGGAGCGTAGATTGGACAGCTGGCCAAGACTTGGAGGGATGCTGCCAGAAAATGCACCGTAACTCAAGTCTAATTCAACTAAACTCTTCAAATTTCCTATTTCTTCTGAGAGAAATCCTCTCATTGCGGGATTCGAGTGAATGTCTAGTCGGAAAAGATTTGTCAAATTAAAAAGAGCTGAAGGAATTGTCCCGCTAAAGTGGTTAGTGCTGAGGTCAAGGGAGTGTAGATTGGACAGCTGGCCAAGACTTGGAGGGATGCTACCAGAAAATCCACAGTGACTCAAGTCTAATTTAACTAAACACTTCAAATTTCCTATTTCTTTAAAGAGAATTCCTCCCATTGCGGGATTCGAGTGAATGTCTAGTTGGGAAAGATTTGTCAAATTAAAAAGAGCTGAAGGAATTGTCTCACTGAAGTGATTATTGCTGAGATCAAGGGAATCTAAATTAGACAATTGGCCAAGAGTGGGAGGGATGGGACCAAAAAGCGAATTGTAGCTCAAATCTAGAGTAACCAAACCTGTCAAGTTTTCGATCCCGGTAGGAATTAAGCTGTCAATCGAATTCCAAGAAACATCGAGTTGTGCTAGTTGCGTAAGGTTTACTAGAGAAGACGGGAGCTCACCATAAAGATAGTTGGAAGACAAATTGAGATAGGTGAGTTTGGAGAGTGCACCTATTTGATGTGGGATGGCTCCGTAAAGTTCATTTCGACTGAGATCTAGACTAACCAGGTTCGGAAAAGAAGAGAAGCTGAAATTTGCCAAGTCATCTTGAATTCCGCAGTTTGGAAGTAGTATTTCGGTAACACTACCAGCAGTGTTGCAAATGATACCAGACCAATGGCAGTGGGCAGAGATGTTTGTTGCAGTAGTACTGCCGTCTCCCCACCAGCCACTCTTGTGCAGTGCCTCAGCTTCTAATAAATTCACAGCAGACTCCTTTGCTGCTCCTGCTATTGCTACTGCCAGTATCATGAGAACAACAACTCCGCTGCATCCAACATCCATCGATGCTCTATCACCATGAAAGGCCGTAATTAAGATAAGATAGACGAAATGTAAGATAGAATTGGACTCCTAACAAGTATACGGTTCTACTAAATAGAAAACAATTTAAGTAGCAGGACCGTGAATAACCATGAAAGACCGTAATTAAGGTAAGATAGATGAAATGTAAGCGCCAGCCCTGAGCAAGTAGTCTGGATTGAAAGAGTCGCACTTAATATTTTAGTTCAATCTGTATCATTCACACTGATTGTTAAAAGCATTTTAATTTGGAAGACTCGCAATGCAGTGCAGTCAGCAGTGTTTGTGGTCTTGAGTTGATTCCAAGAACTCTTCCATTATTACTCTGAGCCAACATCAGAGTTAGAATTGGTAACCTTTGCCAAAAGCGGTTCAATCAGAAAGAAATTACTCACAACCCTTTTTTTTTTGAAAAAAAAAAATTTTAAAAACAAAGGTGATCAAATTCATGACATATCTTTGTTCAAGGCATTTGCGTACACGTGAACACTAAGACATATGAGTTTAATTAAACTGTAGTGATCCTTCTTTGCATTTCTTTAGATTCAGTCAGGACATATCTGGTCATAGGCATTTAACTTAGTAACAAGTGTACGGTTAAATGTTTCTTAGTATAATTAGTTAAAATGTGCAACATGAAATACAACATTTGATGTCATAAATGATGTAATTATTGGTATAATGTGTAGACCAGCACAATCTTGATATTTTGTCAGTGATTCTTTTGTTGATAAAATTTAGACGCCAATTTTGAAATTTTAATTACACGGTTATTCGTTTAACAGGCACAGATAATAAAGTCAACTTCAACTAAACTGGTAAATTTTGACCAAATTCAACAAAAGCGGTACAGTTAAAAGGAAATTACTTGCAGCCTCCTTTTTTTTTTTTTTTTACAAAAAAGTTTAAAAACTTACTCCACAATCCTCATATGGTTCTCAAATCTAATTATTGCTCTCTTTGTGCTAAAGAATAAATTCTAACTTCTAAGAGCAGATTTCTTATACCCAAAAAAAAAAATTGTAAACCTTAGATATAAGGCTTAGCATGTCAATCTAGGACATTAACAAGAAAGAAGGAAGAACAATTTGAGTTATTCTGTGGTAGTCGGTCTGGAGTTAATGGCTTGGGCACCATGACATACGCGTATTAATAATCTTGTTGATCAGGATTTTTTTGTCTCCTCGATATTTTGGTCCCAATAATGCATTATTTTTTTTATTTATTTGAATAATTAGTAACTCATAAGATATACTCATCTTTGTTCACAATTCATTAGCTTAAAGCTGTGATTTGGAGAGATTGTTTAGCATTAATTACTGGTTAATGGGCATTGCTCAAAGTCACATCTTTCAGGCTTCAAAAACCAGTCAAATTTATCGGGCTGAAAGGTTTCTGTCCAACTATGTTGATTATTCTTAAAAGGCAAACGCAGTTGAGAATGATTCAATAACTCAATTATTTCTTTGAACTAACATATTTCTTTTTAGAAAACGACTTTTACCAGATACGTATACAATTCTACCAAATTGAAATTTGAATAAATTGGTAACCTTTGCCAAATTTTAAGAAAAAGTGGTACAATTAATAGGAAATTACTCATAACCTTTTTCTTGATTAAGAACATCCTCCATCATCCTCATATGCTTCTCAAATCCAATGGGTGTCCTCTTTCGTGCTAAAGGGGAAATCTAAGGGCAAATTTTGAAAATGTGATTAATAGTAAATTTTAGCATGCAAGGCTTAGTTTGTGAATTTAGGAGCGAAAAAGAAACAAGAAAGGAGAGAAATACTAGCACTTTCTTTGACGTTGTTTTGACAGTCTCGTGACAGGAAGAGAAATATGAGTATAGCTGTTAAATGAACATAACTGTTCGTTAGCTCGGCTTATTTAGACTTGTTCGAAATTTTATATGAGTCGAGTTTGAACAAATATTTTGACTCGATAAGTAATTGAACGAACACGAGTTCGTTTGCAAACATGGACCTAATTGTCATTTCACAAAATTTATGGTTAATATCGTATTCCTAATTCTTATTTCCAAGCTTATTTATTCACAAATATGGGTCTAATTGTTTGCGAACGGCTCGTTTATGTTAAACCAGTCGACCTTAAACTCGAATTCGAACTAGGATTTTGCTTAATAAATTGAACGAACACAGATTTGGATCTCGAATATTATCGAAGGAACATTAATCTTATTTGAATAGCTTAACAAATAGAGTTTAAACACAAGATACTCGACTCAACTCGATTCGACTCGTTTACAATTCTAAATATGAGTAGTATATAACATATATGATGGTCTTAAAGTATATTCTTCTGCTCAAATATGTGAACGGATAATTTTGCCCCTTTGCCTCTCCATTCTGTCAGGTCAAATAGCAAAAATTGATAAAAATGACCAAAAACTTACACATTAACTTGTCTAAGGGTTTAAATAATATACAATATAATTTGGGGGTTAAAAGTGTATAAAAGTGATGGATGACTTTAGGAGTCAGCTGAGCAATGAAGAGGTATTTCGAAATGAAGAGGCTAATTCCTTTATGCCATTGAGTTTCAAAATACTCACATAATCTCCGATGACATGCACAATGAAAAATGGATGGAAAATATCTTCGTTTACGAAGATTGACCGAGACGTATTTCGAAAGTATGTCTGATAATAAATTATAATATCCACTTAACTCCTCTATAGTTTCGTATCTATCTGCATAATCCTCCTGTAATTTTATCAAAAGTGATTAGGCCCTTATTCAATTTAGTGCTTGAAATAAGGACAATATTGTCATCACATGTTATGAAGACTATTTTTCATCAAACTTCCACTTTACATAAAATTATAAAGGGGTTATGTGGATATATTAAAATCTTAGGGGGATCAAATGATATTATGCAAATGCACATGAGGGTAATCAATAATTTATCCTTCTTGGCTTCTTATTTTGGATCTTGGAATTTTGATAATTATTTTTATGACAAATTATATCTAACCCCCTTGTAGTTTTGTATATTGCCACATGACCTCTCAAAGTTTTAAAATATCCACATAATTCTTTTGTAGTTCTCTGTAAAGTGAACAATAGATGAAAAACACCATCAGCAATGGCAATTGAACTAGATGCACTCAAAATGTGTGAGATAAAATCATAATGTCCACTAAACCATCTATAATTTGCATGAATATTCACTTTATTCTCATGTGAAATTTACATTTATTTACATAATTTCTTTATGGTTTTATGCAAGATAATTAGGCCATTATTTGTTTTAGTGCTTAAGTAACAGTGACATTGATATTTCAACCAACTACGTTACCAATGCTAGCATGAATTTAAAGGCCTGCATTTAAAGTCTTAAGTCAAGGCCTTTCCAATCTGCATCTTAGGGCGACCAAGGAAGGCTTGTAACGTGTTCTTTCTGGCCTTGATTTGGTTTCACATTTGAGAGTCAACTTCACTGCGATTGCTGTGCAAAATATTTTGGAAGACTTTTCTGCGGGGCTTAAACACGTGGAGGACTTTTTCGTTTCTCGACCAGGCTTTGTTTTACGTTTTCTTTTCGATAAGGGTAAACTGTGATTTAATAATTTTTCATATAATTTCATCATAGTTTTAAAATTTATATATAATCTTCTCAAAATTTGGATTAAAGTATCAAAATGACGGAAATGATTCTCTATAATGGAACCCAAAGAAATGTCGAGAATATCCTTGCTTAAAAACTAAATTGGTTGAAGTGACCAAAATACATAAACTTAATATGTATGGCATTTTAACCCCTTATCAATTTATGTTTTACTATATAACTTTCTTATCGTTTAGTGCTTTATCACATAACTCCTTTATAGTTTTCAAAAAATATATATAACCCCCTTGAGGTTAATTAATAATTTCCAACTTCACAAAAGGTACATATTTTTGACATTTTAGTTGATTTCGTTATAGAATGCAAATTTCGTGACTTTGACACTTTAGTGCAATTTATAAGGGAATTATATATAGTTTTGCAAATCACAAGAGAGTAATGTAAAAAAGCGCTAAACCACAGGAGGGTAATGTGTACTTTGCCCTTTTGATAATTTAAAGGGAGTTGCACTCTCAAGGATGACTATTTTAATGATTTTTTTAATGAGTGCTAAAACTCGTTAAAACACTTAAAGCGCACCCAATTTTCAATATAAATACAAACAGTCACTTTTCAAAAATAGTTACACTTCTGCCAAAGTATTAACAGCTAATATCCTCTAAACCAATAACGTGTGATTCAGGACGCTCGTTAGTCAAGCCTATTAAATGAAATATTCTTTTATGATTTGACTTTTATTTAAGGACAAATTCCACTTTAACCTCCTGTGGTTTAGCGTTTTTTTACATAACTCTCCTATAGTTTTAAAAGCTATATATAATGACCTCATGGTTTGGATTAAAGTGTCAAAATGATGGAAATGATCATTCGTAACGGAGTCACCAAAATGTCAAAAATACCCTATGTAAAGTTGAAAATTATTTATTAACCAAGGGGGGTTATGTGTATATTTTGAAAACCATAAGGGGGTTATATAGTAAAATATTAAACCATAAGGGGTTTATATGGTAAAATATTAAATCATAAGGGGGTTAGTGTGTCATGTATTTATACGGGTAATTTTGACATTTTTAGAAGTTCTGTTACGAATGACAATTTCCATCACTTTGACACTTTAATCTAAACTATGAGGGGGTTATGTATAACTTTTGAAACCATAGGGGGAGTTATGTAAAAAAAAAGCTAAACCACAGGGGGATAAAATGTAATTTGCCCTTTATTTAAACTAGCTCTTAACCCGTTTCTTTAACGAGATTGCATCTATTACGTTGAAAGATTTTTTTAATAATATTGTGGATCAAAGCATGCCTAAGAATTATATACTAAGAATTGTAAAACTGACACATTTGAAATGCATACAGATGAGTATATGCATGAATAACTAATTCAA